ACTTTCTTACACGTACTGAAATTGAACGGACTACAAAACTGCATACCGAAAATATTTTCTAAAAATTCTGATTAAAAAGTTTGAAATTTTGAAGAAAGTTTTTTTAAGTTTGATTCATTTTTATGAATTTTGTACAAAGTTTTCAAGTAAATATATGGTTTTTGTTATAGAATGAGCTATATTTTAAATGAAAATTAACGAAAAATATTTATGATGGAAAACATCTTGAATATGTATTGTGAAAAAACTAAATTACGAATACTTCTGCGAGCGACGGTATGTACTGACTATTTCAACACTTTTTGAGTGTAGTGCGGATTCATTCACTACCACTAAATTTCGTTGTAGTGAAACAGGATAGCACTATCACTACAGTTTTTAGTGGTAGCGAAGGAGTCAGACAAATGAATTTCGCGTATTATCCAAAAACATCTAATTTATGCCAAATATTGTATTGAAAAACTACGAGGCCCCATAGCGAGAGAAATAATTTATTTTACTTTTAATTTCTAATCTCGTATTCAAAAAATATATGAAGTACTAAAAACTGTGGTGTAGTGGTTAAGTGCGCGGTACCCCTCCTCAGGGCCTGGGTTCAAGCCCTAGTCAAAGCAACATCGCAAAAAAAAAATTGTACGGTGGGTATATTCTCTTACATTAATGTATGCGTACATTTCGATGGTCCTGTGCAATAACGACACAATTCGAAATTCAAAAAACAAAAACTGTTACTACTGTTAAGTGGCTCTTGTCTCTAATCCTTGTCTAATCCATTTCCATCCTTTACAAAAGTAAGCAGTAAGGATTGCTTAAGTAAAGTAAAGGAAAAAATTTTAGAATTAAAAAAAAACGTGCTAAATTAAAAAAATACGAATTTGAAAGAGCACCAACCCAACTTGTTTTTAATTTGAGTATGTACATTGCAAAATATGTCGTTGTGAAGTGCACAGATGCTTTTTCGTAATTAAGAAGAAAAAAAAGAATTTAAAAGAAAAAAGGAATTTTTTATGTTCCGTCTGATGGCAATTGAACCCGGACCCTCTTGGCAGCACACTCAGCTACAGCCATACATGTAAATCAGGGTACTCACAGTTTACTTCTAAAGTTAAAAGGTGGCAACTTTAACAAGATAACACACTCGAACTGTGAGCAACCCTTATGTTTAAATAAAGTATTAAGTTGATCAACAATACCACGCATTGCTAGACCGTTTGCCTTTCACGCGTTTGTGTTTAGAGAGCATCAACAAACCACATACATATTTCTCTCTATTCTCTCTTCTCTTTTTTATACTAAAAAAAAAATAACCTTTGCCAGCTCCAGGCAGGCGCAAAGAGAAACTTATGTACAAGCAGCGCTGCGCCCAAAGCGAAATTCATGTATGTATGTACAAGCAGCGATAGATGCCAGTTTAACACAGAACATAAACATGAGACAAAGTCTAGTAATTTTGCCCAAAAGTGTTATCTCTAATTAGTATGGGAACCAACAACAAACAAAGTTACCACATGGTAAAATGTTTTAAAGTTACCAGGTGGCAAAATTAACACAGTAGATAATATAGAACTGTGAGTACCCTAATTGTGTTTTCAAGTGTTGAGTTTGAATCAACATCACAGCGCGCGATTAGTGCATTTGTACAGATAAACATGTACCATGTATGTGTGTGTGTTGTCACCGCTGTGCATGCTTTGTTTACATATACTTTCTTAATTACATATGAAAAAAAAATTATAGTTTCAAAACCTAAACCTCGCTATTATAATTTCTATTCGTACTGTCACGAGGTATGTAACTTGAGAATACAAATCGCTGCATCTTTTAGGCGCATCAATATTACATAGTTACACCCCGAGTTAATAAAAGGGAGGTTCAAAAGCATCCGAGACGTGCAAAACGCCATCCGTGCATTGAAAAATGCTTAATTTTAATACGGGCGTATTTGAATTGAATATTTCCATTATACGTAGTGTATGTATAATGGAAAAATCAATTTTGTTAACACTTTTCACTTGATTTTAATACGAACATTTTTAAACGGCAATCAAATAAAAAATTTTCATTTTTACAACGCGTTTTTTTTCTCAGTGTATACACATTATATTAACTAGTAAATGCCCGCTTGCTTCGCGGCGCCTGATAAAAAGTTTTGCATTGGCCAATACCAAAATAGCATTGAAAAGAAAAACTGTTTGTAAAGTAAGCATTCTTAGAGTGGCTTGAAACAGAAGCAGAACTCTCCTCACACATAGCCCAATAATAGTAGTGCTGTGATACCATATGGTATACTAATACAGTAGTCGTAATCGTTAAATTTGAAGGATTACAATTAAAGTATTCGCAATCGAGCGAATCGGAATACTAAAAATTTTGTGGACTGCGATTTCAAATCAATCAAAATGTAATCGTAATCCTAAATGCCCAGCTCTCATACATACTTACATATGTATGTACCAGGCTTGTTGCGAATATTCGCATTCGCATTCGCAACCGCGGAGCTTCCGCATTAATTTTAACATTCGCATTCGCAAAATTACAGTTTTTTTTACGAGTTAAACTTGGCCAAATATTTTTATTCCGAAATAAAAGTACTTTCCGGATAATAAACAAATCGCTTATCCAAATTAAACTAGTTTCGTATCAAATGAAAGAGGACTTATGTCTTATGAAATGTCTAAACGAGTAAAGCCACATATTGAAAACTATTTCAATAAAAAATGTTAATTAATAACCATAGAACAAACCTGGGGTCAGGTATATATTTATATGAATTTCATTAGTATTAGCTTATAAAAAGAAATATAAATCGAGGTGGTAATCTTCGTTTTTTCTGTTTAAAAGCTATTTCAGTCCTCTTTCATATGATACCAAATTTGTTTAATTTGGATAAGCGGTTTGTTTATTATCCGAAAGAACGTTTATTTCGGTATAAAAAATATTAGGCTAAATTTAACTCGTAAAAAATAAATTTTATTTTCGATACCTAGAATATTATGCAAGTGCACTGATAACGCGTATATCTGACCAGTCACAGAAGAAAGCATTCAGAATGAATTACAAAAGCTAAAATCGAAAAACGCTGATAACGCGACAGGTTCTCCGAATTCCGTAACAACCACACGAATGAGAATGAAGAATTCTTTGGAAAACAACGTTGTTTAAACAACGTGATGAAAGTCAGGAGGATACATCCGACATTTGCGGCCCCGATTCTCAGAAAGTAATTATTGCACCGCAATAAAAATAAATGAATATAACTGAAAGTCCTCTCAACTGGTGCAGTGTCAATCGAAATGAGTTTACAATTTTGTCACGTTTCAAGCTTGTCGCCTAGAGCGTGTAGTTATAAAGTGGCGCAGGTTTGATTTACGATCCTTTAAAAAGTTTTTATTAAATACAATGTTCCAATTTTTAAATTCAAGTACTAAAAAAAACATTCAGTCTTATCACGAGTTTCATTTTTCCCGAACCGGTTCACTTTTCACTTTTGGTTTTCATGTATTTACTATGGGCGGAATACAAATTTTCGGGCGAAACTCAGGATAAGGCAGATTATTAAAAATTACTAACCTTTCCATTTTTTATTTACCTAAGTCACCTAATTTACCCACCTAAATTATTTCTTAAAAATACATGACATCCGCATTCGCTTTCGCGGATGTCTAAAATTCCACATTCGCAACATCACTAGTATGTACTATCAATACTTACATTGCATGTGCCAGCATCGCCAAATTACATTGTTCAAGCGTATTTTATCCTTCCAACGCAAACGAATTCCTTTGAAGTGGTTCCATTTTGGGGAGGTTAGTTTTTGACTGAAAATAAAAACAAATTTTATTCAAAGTTTTGGGGTATTCCAGTTATAAATCTTCTTATTAATTATATACTGCTTGATGAATCAGTACCAAAAACCCTAAATTAATGCAATTTAGAAGAAGCAATTTGCTTATTATTTTATTACATTTTAATAATAACTATATTGGCGCTTCCACAATATAGGCTAGTATGCAGCTCTCAAGAAAACGGTCAAGAAAAACATTGCCTTTCGTATGTGTGTCCAAGGAATTTTGACATCTGATACTTCACCAGCCTGTTGCCTCACTCTTTCCTCAAGAAATAATGGAACGGGTAAATATTTCTATCGCAAGCATGGGTTGCCTTGTGCTCTTTTTTCAAGAAAAAACTTTATAAAAGTGTAGTAGAAAGCGGAGCAAATTTCTTAAGAACTGCGTACTGCCTCAAGAAAATTTTAAACAAGAAAATTTCTTAGCCATTTCTTGTACGTCATTTTATATGGACTTTTTGCTTTTCTTGAGAGCTGCATACTGACCTTATGTTATGGTGATTTCGTTTCTTGATGTTACACTCAACCCTGTAAAAGGGCATGTTTTTGCCTTCTTGTCCTCGTCTAGCTCACGCATTTCATAATATTGTCGTTTTAAACAACCATCTGATTTTCAGGGCAACCATCTCCCCTGACAAAGCTTCAAAGGGCAGAGAATGTGCCTTCTTCCTCTTGCAAGAGTGTGACATTTTAAGAAACGAACACAAAATTGTCTCATCCTTTGCCTTTAATTTAGAATCGAATACGAAAAGAGAAAACGGCAATCAAAAGGCCACATTTTTTGGTAGTAACGAAATCACCATTAATGTTTCTCCGAGCTTATCCTCCGATTTGTCTTGATGTTGTCACACAAAGAGGAGGGACCTACAGTTTTATGCTGACTCCGAACGGCAATTGTATCTGTATGAGAAGGGTCATTTCATTGAAAAGACGAAAACGACATAAATTCAAATATGCCCTAATTATCTCTATTTCTCTTCTTAAATAACTACATTTCATTAACCTGTGGGAAAATATTAGGAAGTCAAAAGAAGTTGTAATTTTTGTCTATGGAAACTTTTATTTCATGCATAGTTACTTTACAGCAGTCACAAGGAGATGTACCACCAGTCACAACTTTAAATATTTTTTAATATTTCTATGATTATATAAACCCATGGTGAAATAATAATAAGGTGTTGTCACTTAGGGGGTGGTTGTTGTAGTTTTGGCAATTTCGGCATACCAGCGTTACAGTAATGCCTACTCTATTTATTCCAATTTCCTTTCTGGGCAAAATAGAACAAAAAATGTAGCAGACAACAATCTTGTGAAAAAAGTAAGCGTAGGTATCACTATTTCTTTGAGTCTCCTTTTCTCTGACTTTTCGTTTCAAATTTATTGGAAAATCTGAGCGATAGTTTGCAATAATTGTGATTTTGTAAGTAAATTTTTGCTAAAATATATACATATATATGTGCATATTGATGAAATTTAATTGTTTATATATTTCTTCAAATAGGTTGAGCTATTATCCCGCAAAAAGCAGCGATTTATTCAAGATAATTCCAGGTAAGTTTCGCAAACTAAATGCATTCACCAAACTAATGTATTTTTCTCACAAAAGGTTTTTAGAACAGCACCTTTTAAGTTTTAGAGCTGGCTACAGTTGTTTATTGGGGCAGTGTCTCATCAGCGGCGCTACCAACAGCGGTGTTATAAGCAAGTTCCAGGTAGGAAATTGTTAAATCCAACATATTTATATCATCAGAATCTAACCAGTCTTTATGTTTGTGTTTCTTCCATCAGATTTTTGGAGCAGTGTCTCGCCAAGCTGCGCTACCAGCAGCGTTTTAATAAGCAAGTTCCAGGTAGGAAATTATGAAATCCAAAACATGTATATTATCAAACCCTAACCAGTCTTTATGTTTGTGTTTCTTCCAACAGATTTTTGGAGTAGTGCACACCAGCAGCATCATCACCTTCTACAACTAGGGATTTTTCAACTGCGTTTCAGGTAAGAATTTAGCAATTGCCAATGAATCAAATTGGTAACTTATTTTTTTATTTGTTTTTGGCTTACACCCATGCTTACACCATCTTGTAATGATATAATTATTAATACACCATGGCTCACACTAATCACGGATTCGGTACTTATCTCCAAGCGTTTCCGCTCGGATGACTATGATGAGGGACTTCGGTCTAGCCACTTAAACGTATAATTATTTAATAATATAACAGATAGAATTTAGATGTGTAAGTTTTAAATGGTAACGAAAATATAGTTTGTAATAAAATTCCCGTTAAAGTTAAGTTATTTAAAAACTTAGTACGCATATATACTTCAGAACTTAAGGAAAAAAATACAAATAAAATTCCATACTTGATGATATGTTATTTTTATTAGAAGTTAAATATAATTAAATAAAGAGAACGGTTTAATTTTATTTGTTTTAATAAGAATAAATGAAGGGCGGAAAATAGTTTTTATTTTTATTTTTTAATTTTAACCTACCTCTTATGTATGTGGTACGTCTACGTGTCCCAGCTGTTTTCCCACACCACAGCTAGCGTTATAAGGCGATGTTATCAAATGGGTGAAGAGCTTTATAATCCGCTAGAAACAGCTGACTTCATTGACGCCATTAATGATTGGTTCGACTTAATGAACACAAAGATGACCACGATACAAACTATTCCTTCGAAAAGGCCATTTGGGGTAGATATGGAGCAACAGACGAAAGTTTTAGAAACAATGGACTCCATTGCCCTCAATGCAAAGGTAACCAGTAGTAGAACGCTTCTTCCTTTCCAGAAAGGAATTTTGATGAGCAACGAATCTCTACGGTCGTTGTTCTATTGTCTGCAAGAAAAATTTGGTTTGCGGTATTTGCTAACCTATCGGCTGAACCAAGATGTGTTGGAGAACTTTTTCGGTGCAATGAGGGCGAGGGGTGGGTTGCACGATAATCCAACACCGATGCAATTCAAATACCGGCTTCGAAAATATCTTCTTGGTAAGATACGCTTATAAAAGATTTTCTGTAATATATTTAATTAGTATGCGTATTTTGTACCTTTCATGTAAAATTTAGCACAAAACACAGCACTCCTCCCTGGAAGAGGAAATGTTGGCGAAGATGATACCAACTGGCTTCCACTGAGAGACATACCTCATTGTGACTACATCTCGGAATATCTAGGCGAGTCTGACGCCTCCATCGTCTCCGCAGATGATTTTAACATAGAGAGCGACATAGACCAGTTCCACGAGGACGCGGTCGAGTATATAGCTGGCTATATTATCCGCAAGCTTCATTTAACTGGTATGGAGTCCACGGACAATACGTTCACTTGGGTTGATGAATTGTCGAAAGGCGGTTTAATAAAGCCTAGTTCTGCGTTTGTGAAGGAGTTATTGTTCTTAGAAACCATTTTTATAAAATTTAATGGGAAGGAAATTTATTGCGGTCCAAATTATATGCAAGAAATGCTTAACGCCTCAAAAACTTCTCACATGGCGGAAAATGTCAAAAAACTTTTTTTTAAGTGTAGAATGCATTTTCGTATTAAAGATTTGAATAAATCCATAAAATGATATACATACACAATTTTTTTGTTTGTATGCCTATTCATTGAATTTAAACAGTTAAACAAAAGTATTTCTTATAGGAAAATACACTGATAGCGAGAGCTTTGAATATATGTCCATATGTATATATTCGAAATCAGTATTGGAAATAGTACCCAAAAAGTAGTAAAAATAATCCAAATTTTTTCCCCCTTTTTCTACTACCCTCAAATGCATGACCGCAATTGGCATGCAGAAAAAGTGAGGTTATGTAAGTGACATCACCTTATATTTATTTCACCATGATATAAACCTCATTTTTATTGAAAACGAAAGCATGTAATTCATATTTTACAACACAAATACATCGTTCGTGAAAATTAGGTGTTTTGGCTAAAATTCATCTTTGAGTGCACAACCAGTCCCACCAGTCACATTCATTCAAATGATAGTTACATAGAACTAAGAAATCATTTGGTATTTCTGTTAAAGCAGTTTTATACATTAGTTATCATTCTATGTTAAAAAATATCTTTCGCTGTTGTATAAGTTCCGACGACATAGTTAAAATTCACAATTGATCACATTCTGGAGTAAAATGTCCCACAAGTCACAATGGAATGGCCCAGAAGCTGTTTTTCGTGTTTGCCATTGCCTGCCGAGGTTCGACCGGTATTAAACAAAAATGTTTCTGTTCTTTTCTTATGTTAGTCGAAACCTGGGCTTGAACCCAGGCCCTGCAGAAAGGTTGAACGCACTGCTAAGCACTACATGCATTAAAGACTTGAACAGTAAAAACCTAAATGAACACGAAAACGTACATACATACCAGGGATGTTGCATTCACATTCGACATTCGCATTCGCATCCACTCTAATATTGTTGAAATGACTCTAAGTCTGTCTAACCAGGGTGCGGACAATAACCGTTGTTGAAGCAGTTTCTAAGCGGAACGAAAGCGCAAGGTTTTTTTCCAGATTTGAACGAAAGACTACGCCAGCTGGATGTGAATTCAAGTTTTATTTTGCATAATTTCAACATATCGATAGTCCTGTGCAATAACGACACAATTCAAAATTCAAAAAACAAAAACTGTTACTGCTGTTAGGTGGCTCTTGTCTCTAATCCTTGTCTAATCCATTTCCATCCCTTACTAAAGTAAGCAGTAAGGAATGCTAAAGTAAATACAAAAGATTAGACATAAATTCGACGAGGATTACAGACATGAGCCACTTAACAGAAGTAACAGTTTTTATTTTTTGAATTTTGAATTGTGTCGCTATTGCACAGGACCATCGATATGTATGTATCAGAGCTGGGTAAATGCAATTACATTACAATTACAATTACATTCCTCAGCAATTGTCATTAGGATTCAATTCTTTCAGTTCACAGCAAAGGAATCGATTACTTTTTCAATTCCTTGAAGTAATTTCAAATGGAATTGTTTTTTCCATTACAAGGAATTTCATATTGTAATTGGAATAAATTACGTGCTACCGAGACCCATAAATGTCGAAGCAGGAATAATCCGCCGGACTGTTGCTGCCTTGGGCACTGCTGTTCTCTTGGACTAATCCCTGCGTATCTATAAAAATGCACTAACTTAATTGCGTATATTATGGCACCCTTAATTCTACCCAAAATGGCGTGCATTCGATAAATTCGTTCAAACCATTAAAGTCGCCGGGGACCGATCACACCTGCCCAGCTGCAAAGTGGATTCTATTTATGCGAACTGCGTGAGGACCGGGTACATCCAAAGGCTTTGAGGGTAGTCAATGTTGCTTTCATACCGAAGGCCTGAAAAGGCTCTCATGTTTCCCCTAGGGATTTTAGGCCTATCAGTTTCTTTGTTTTTGCTAAAAACGCTAAAGAGACTGATAGACCTGTACATAAGGAACGCGATTCCTCGTGACAGTCTTTCAAGAGCTCAATATAGTTATTGCAAAAAAAGGTCGGTGAATACCGCCCTGCACACCTTGGTAAAGTGGTCAGAGGGAACTTTCATGCATGAAGATTATGCAGTAGGGGCCGTCGTCGATATCGAGGGGGTCTTCAACAATGTCACTCCAGAGGCATTAGTCAAGTATGTTCATAATCTGTCGCGGCGGAGTGGGGGGCGTCTGCACACAGTACAGAGCCAATAGGAGCACTGCACAAGGTGGTGTTCTGCTCTGGATTGCGGTTGTAAACGATGTTCTAGAGAAACTGGAAAATGTGGGCTGTTGGGTGATCGCCTATGTAGAAGATGTGGAACTTTTGGTTAAGGGACGATTTCTATACAGGGTATCTGGCTCAAGGTTACTTGCACCAGGTAACTAGGTGTGCAATCAACGACGGCTGTCGTGGAAGTCTAACATTGAGGCAAGGGAAGGAAAGGTGTCGGTTGCCTTGTACTGCTGTAGGGGAGCTATCGGTAGAATTAAAATTAATTCATTAGCTCTAGGAAACCAGATTCAAGCATATATTGTTTCAAGGAACCCTTGTCTGGTGGAGCTCACTAGTGATGGCTAAACTTGTAAAACAGGAATTAGCGGAGCATTAAGAACCACACCTACACCGGCACTTAACACAAATATGTTGAACACGACATCTGCGGATGTTGTAGACAGAATTGTCGCAGCGCAAACTGCTATTAGGCTAAGGGAAACCGGGTCCTTTTGTGATATAAAAAAGGAAAAGAAGTCGCTTCTCTGCTGCAGCAAATGTTTTTATTGACCACTATAAAACACGTTACCTCTCAAGGGCTAGTGATGGGGGTTCTGACAGGCCATTGTGCGACTGGTATTCATACGGTGAGACTAGGAATTTCAATTGATCCTTTTGTATCAGCTGCCAAGAGGAATATGAAGTGGAATCATCTCAACACTTTCTTTTAGACTGTCCAACCTTCGCGCACCTGCGATGGAAGCATTTTGGCTCGCACTTCTGAACAAACACTGAGCTCTCAGGGACCGAAATTGGCCGCTTTCGAAATTTCGTAGTCGGCTCGCGGTGTTAACTTAACCCAACCTAAGCTGTTCTTCTTTGAGAAATAGTTGGTCACATTAGGTATCCTGCGTTACAAATGAGGATAGAGTCCACTTGAATTACGAGCCCTGTCGGACTGGAGATCCTAACTCCTAAGAGTTTTATAAACAAATTGCATTGCTATGGCTAAATTTTGATGATAACACTGTAACGACGCTAAAATTACACAAAAAACTCCGACAGACGTAAAATTAATTTTAAGTAGTATGTTACGGATCTGTATACCGTTTTTTTAGATAAGGTAATTTAGTCAAGTTATTTTTATTTTAAGTTTTCATTGCGAATGAAAAAAATTCAAACTTTAACATGGTCATACGGTCATGTATGATATGGCGTATGAGTAACATTATTTCCTGCTAGTATTTCATACAAAAAATTATTGCACTTTCACTTAACCCTTGCAAACTTGTTTATTTATCCATCGATTTTCATTGTTAGTAGTGTTTTAAGCCGCAAAACAAGCAGATATTGGCTAGTCTATACTAATATACATTTTGAAAGCCGTTGTTTTTTTGTTCGCAAAGCTCGAGAAAGGCCGTACCGATTGTTTTGAAGTTTCGGAATCTACTGCATACTTCCCAAGGATGGTTATAGGCTAAAAAAAGTTTCGATATAGAAAGGGGAAGTGGCACCTCCCATACAAACCGAATTTTTCAAACTGCATATATCTGTGGTAGAGCACTAGAACTGGGTATGGAGATATATAGATATATAAGATCAATTCCATGCTCATGGAGAAGAATTTGTATGCACAGAGAAACTGATACAGGTAAAACGCAAGTTTTTAAAAGAAAT